AAGCACGCAATAGATGGCGTAAGCTAGCACTACAGGCCGTACTATATGATATAAGAATGTTTATTCCATGCTGATAGAAGTAAAAAAGTAGTCTTCCCAAAAATTACAAAAACCGCGAAAACCGGGTAGTGAGGTGGAAATCTCCTACGAAAATCTGTAAAAATTTGACCTTTTTTTAAAAATTTATGTATATTCTGAAAGAGGAAACTTCGCTGCATCTTCCTATGATAAAAACTCGACTTCGATTATTTTACCAAAAAATGAAATTTCTGAGGGGGGGGGGGGCTTAAGGTTTCAGTGAACATCGAACGACAAGAACAATAAAGGGAATGTTACCACGTTTTCTTCCATCAATCAATCATGAACTTTTCTCTATTAAATATGCACTTTCATATTGGTTGTTTAACTTTAATCCGAACGCATTTCGAATGAAATCTGGAAAAGAATAATAAATAACGATAGTCAATCAGTGCATTGGTCGTTTGGTTCAAACCTCATCTCGATATTTTGACTCTACCGGTCACAGGAACTAGGTCCATCGATAGCTTATGCGTTTGTTCTCAGTGTCCTATACGTTGTCTCTATCATTTATCCTGTAGCTCAGTTAAAAGAACAAAAGTGAAGATACTGTATGTCATTTGACAAACAATGCGAGATTTAGCCAAATTCAACAGAAATTTTTGTCACAGTCGATGCCTTTGTCTCGGTATCTTGAAAACTTCAAGATACTCTAAAATCGGGCACATCACTTCATTGCTAAAGCAACATTTATATCTGATATCAGTTTCTTTCCGATTGTGTCTAGTCCAGTAAAAATAAAGTAAGCTCTGTAAGCAATTTCTCCAGGATTGAAAGTATTTTAAGTACACACAATAAACTTTAGCTCTTAGAGTACGTATATCACGGTCTATGAGTCTGTATCGATAAGGTCTTTGCCATAATCGAAGTAAGAAGAATGATAAAAGATTCGCTCTGTAGTTGATTACTCATTTAAGTTCGTATTGTTTGAAAAGAATTGTCCATATATATTCTTTGATCAAAGCAAGGACCTTTTCACTTTTTTGATTCATGTTATTCAAGGATAAAAATGGTACTAACCTTGATTATTTTTTGCTTGAATCTATCAAAAAAGCATTTCGTCGCTGTTAACATAAAGTTAGAATAAAAGTAAACATTTTTTTTTCTGCTAACGGAAAGTTGTATGTGATTAATGGTTGAATCGAATGTAATTGTATGACGTCTACAATCAACAAAATATAAAAGCAATACATTTCATCCTTGCGCTTGCCAATTTTTACGTGCGCTGTTTCTATTCAATGAGTGAATCGCGTATAATAACGACGTTTTTTTTTTCATTCGTATTGCCGCACATGGCAATACTTTTTTTTTCTTTCATCCATAACCAACATTCAACATAGAATACATGATAAATGGTGAAAATAATTTTTTTATTCTATTTTAACAAAAATCCTGACAGTCAAAAGATTTTTCGAGTATAGAAATCATGTCGATATTATCAAACTTATCTTGTCGTTTACCATTACTATGGATGTGAGTGTGATTGTAGTGGAAATAAGATACACCTACACTCACGCCACACCCATACCTAACACCCACACCTACATCCTCAAACTTTTCTTCTATTGGAAGTTTTAAGATATGATCACTAAAGAAACTGCATATATATATATAAAAAGAGATTCAGCTTAAGGCTGCTACAATTTATAAATATGCAATCGAAACTTTGATGAGCTTCTTTCTTTCAAGAAAGGACTTTGCTTTGTCTTGTTATTGTATTGAAATACGAGATTGCATGCTTTCAATAATATATTATAAGATCGAATTTCTTTTAAAAAAAAAATAAACTAAAAAATTTAATTAATTATTGTTTTTTATTTGTATAGATGTTCAATCAAAACGTAAAGATGACCTTCTTGTACTTAAACGTCTTTTTCGATATAATCTACCTGATTAGAAGATAATTACATTTGGAAGAATACTTTTATTAGGCGCAGCTCTATCCATGTATGCGATTCAATATTTATTTATTTGACAAAAGCAACCAAAGACTTTCGTATTTTTAAGCTGAAATTTTCGTACCATTAATTATACGTTTATGAAAAAAAATTATTTCAATCATATTTGCAATAAGAAACTAATTTTTTGATACATATGAAAGTGGAAAATTATTTTCACATCTTAATCATGGTACACAAATAATGAGTTCAATAGTTGCTAATAATATAGCACAATGTATTGATGCACTTGTTAGATTTAGTAAGTTTAAAAATAAAAGCAAACTAATATTTCATTACTATATGCAGTATTGTTTCTTTTTCACTAGTTGATACGTTAATGAAATTAAATATTCATTTAACAAATAGCTTGTCTTATTAGTGCTCCTCTAATTTTAATTGTTGTTCAAATAAGTCGTATTGATCATGAACGTATATCAGAAAAAGTTCAAGATTCATCAGCTGACACATTTGAAATAGCTGGAGAAACAGTTCGAAGTTTTGGAAATGACGACGAAGAATTGGAAACACTCTTTTACAATCATATCAAGTTTCATGAATACAAGCACATTTAAGTGCCGCACAAAAATAGTTTGTTGAAGTAAGTCATTGTCCCATGATATACAAAGTTATTCAATCAAGTATATTTTGAATCGAAAAAGTGGTATGACTTTTTATTTGGTATCTCGTGTTTTCGAAAAATTTCCTTCGTACTTGGCCTGAAAAATATACTCTTCGTCAGAAAAAAATGAGATGTTTTTCTCATTTTTCTTATCTGTACATTTTTGATCGCTACAGTGACTTTTTTTAATTCCTACTTTTTATGCGAAGAAAAAGAAT